ATTGTTATATAAATTACAATATGAGATGATGATAAAATTTGGATGGCCTTTTGAATTCTACTGGTTCATAAACTGGTTAAAGAAAATGAATTCAGTTACCTGTTGATCATCTTCTGCTTTAACATAGTCTTGATGTCTTCTTTTATCAATTTCACGTTGCAGGTGATTCTTTTTGCCATAGAACCATTTCATTCCTATGAACAAATAGACCAAAGTTAAAATTAAATTCTTAATGCTGGTTTATACAGAAGCTGAGTAAATGCAGAGGTAGAATCTCACCTTCAAGGTGTTGCTTTCCCTTCCTGTGCACCACGAGCATATCAACAGTGTCAAACACAGGACGGTGAGAACACACAAGGCAGCTGTATCTACAGTGGGATAACACATATTACTTGATTAGTGAATGTGACTGTGAATGTTACTGACTTCTTTCTGCAATCCAAACAGCCTGCAATAAATAATCACCTTCCATTTTTCATCAGAGTAGCTTCATCATCTGGGATGAAGTTAGACAGAAGATCTGCAACGCGTCGTTTCTTGTAAGAGAACGAGAGACAGAAAAACAGTGAGAAAAAGGGAAAAGGGATTGGTGCATGTGTACAAATAACACATATCGGTCTGCTGCTTGCTGTTTTTGTTATACCTTCAGTACATTTAGCTGACTTTGATCATCACCCTCCCTTTTGAAAGACATGTTTGGCGACCTGCAGTCTTGTTTATCCAGGTATTAAAAGCAACTATTTCTTATTTCACTGCCACCGGCGTACTAATAACATCCCTTTCTTCCTGTGTTTGTCTCTGGAATTATGGGTAGTGATGTCTGGTTCATGATTTATCGAGTCAGTTCGTGAATGATTCCTTCGCAAATCGGACTGATCCCTTCAAAGCTAAACCACTCTCTTTGTATGAATGACTGTCCGTCTCAAAATAAGGTTTATTCGTGTTCAAGGCATGTAAAACCTCAAGAAACAGGTGATGACGAAAAAGAACTGACGAATCGTTTTAAAGCAGTTTATTGTCAAAAAGAATCGATTCGCTGGAGTGGGACATGGGAGGATCTTATATTTAGCTGACGCCATGGCAACAGAGGCTAAAATAATCTGTTAAGGGCTTGGGACAAATAAGAATTAAGACTGTCTGAACTTAAAATGTAACGGCTACCGGTAATATATCTCTATTATTTTTATGGTTGATGATTTACTTAATGTCTGAATTGTTCGTTTTTGGGGCGGCACTGTTATTTAAGCGAGTTAGTTAAAAAATGTTAAAACGTCTGTGGGTCTGCGTAGGACCGAGTTATTATTTGTCACAGACAGTGTGCTTTATTTACTGTTAAGTGGCGTTAAAAGCTTTCGGTTCGCAATGTCGATCGCTGACCAGTTTAATCTAACAATTAAATCAGAGATTGTTTGTTTATTGTTGCAGACTTTATTTCTTTATTTAAATTGACTCATAGCAGAAGCTGTTCATGTTCAGTCCTGCCGTCATGCGTTCAGTAGCCGCAGATGGTCAGCTGAAGTTCATCTTAAGTCATTATTAGTTAAAGGTTAAACGCTGGAGCTCGGGTCATGTCTTCCGATCACTCAGCGTCACTGGCGGGGACTCACGGCCTCCTACGCGGCCAGCGCACCCGGTCCTACGGCAGCCTCGTGTCCTCTTCATTATCACCCGTTAGACAAAGACGAATTAAACATAAAGTTCAGCCCGGTGAGACTTTGCAAGGACTATCACTGAAATATGGCGTGTCTGTAAGTAATCAGAAAGCAGGTATTTGAGGAATTTGACCTTTTAAAACTTTAGTTGGATGTAATTACTAAATTATCAGCGTAATGTACTTGCAACTTCTTTTTCTGTCTTTACAGATGGAGGAAATAAAAAGGGCAAACAGACTGTACACAAATTATTCAATGTTCCTGAAGGAGTCCCTCTTCATCCCCGTGCTGACAGAGTCTGTGTCTTTCACAAATGGAGTGGAATTGACCGAGGACGAAGCAAGTCCAGCAGCACAAATACACACAGAGATTTCTAATGAGATCCCCAAAAGCCAAACAGACTCTAGATGTGAAGCGAATGCTGATCTGTCACCAGTGGAATACCTGAAAAAGATAGACAGCTTGATCAGTCAGTCCAAACAAGCAGCTGTGAAGACCTGCCAAGAGGGAGAGAAACAGTAAGTTTTCAGAATGAAATTATGACTGCTGTCATTATTGGGATACAGAGTTCACTTATTGTATATTGTTTTGTTTGCTGTCAGCTGAGTCGTTCAACAAGTATGAGCTCAATGGAAGAACCATGAGTCATATGACTTGGGGTTCCAGTGAGCATCAGCTGATAAATTACACCGGAAAAAAAAAAATTGGTGTGGAATTTAAGGCAAGTTCACACCAAGGACGATACTACGATTAAGATATAGTAAGTCCTGAATTGAGAGTCCACACCTAAACTATAATGATAACAGCACAGAGGAACGATATTGTTGAAATCATGACCTTTTTTTCCAGCTGATGAACAACAAAAACATTGACAGCCAAACAGAATCCATCCTGCTTTAAAGAGGTTGAGCATTTAAAATGGCCGTAACCGTTAAGGCTGGGACACACCAAGCCGAGCGACGGTCGGGCTAGTTTGTTTGGTGTGTTCCGCTCGTCTCGATCTTACTGGTCTCGATCACGTGACTACTAAACAGTGCTGTGAGAAGGATTAGATTTTTGCGCAGAGGTCTCTGATACAAACCACAAATGTCATGGTGAGTTAAACTAGTTTAAAGCCAGATGAAACCGCTTTGGTATTCTCAACAACGCTGACATGGAAATAACTAAATGCCTTAAGGCTTAAGCCGTTCTAGATACCTTAGCAACTGTTACTTTTTACCATGGTGGTGCCATGTATGATACTGTGGAAGACCAAGGGTTAATTTTAATGAGATCAGAGTTCTACCTCAGTAAGAATATTCATATTTTACCCTTTAAAAAAGATTTTTAATGTTTTTAACGTTGTTACATTTTTACAGATGATACTGTTTGTGTTAATGAAAATACATAAATAAATCTGCATCCCAACTCAAGCCACTGCTTCAGTCAACTTAAGCTACTGTCCAAGAGACAAAACATGTATTATTGTAAATATTGCTGGTGCCACTGGTCTCAAATGTTGGTCTGGAGTCTTGTATATATGCCCTGTATGTGTGTGTGTATATATGCTTTATAGTTATTGTTCTTGGTGTGGACGCCCCTTTACTTTGAAACAATTTATAATCAGAAATTGCTAATGAATCTTACAAATATTTACAAAGAAATGTCAAAAATACATAAATAAATCTGCATCCCAACTCAAGCCACTGCTTCAGTCAACTTAAGCTACTGTCCAAGAGACAAAACATGTATTATTGTAAATATTGCTGGTGCCACTGGTCTCAAATGTTGGTCTGGAGTCTTGTATATATGCCCTATGTGTGTGTGTGTGTGTGTGTGTGTGTATATATGCTTTATAGTTATTGTTCTTGGTGTGGACGCCCCTTTACTTTGAAACAATTTATAATCAGAAATTGCCAATGAATCTTACAAATATTTACAAAGAAATGTCAAGTAACACAATGGATTAAACCTAAAATTTTGAAGTAGATAAACTGATGTAGTATTTTTCTTGTAAAACAAACTTAATTAATCTTTGTTTAATTCACAACTTCGAAAAAATTACAGTGTACAAACCTATGTTGGAAATCCATTTTCCACCTACAAGGAATCAATTACAAAAGCTTTTTTTCATACATTTAGCTAGCATACCATTTCCAGTAATGAAATCACTTAAAACATTCACATTTGCATTTAAAGGTTTTCATCTATGGAGCAACTCCATCACAGCAATCTGACGTCTGACAAAGCATCCTCCCAGCATGCCGTTTTGGAAGCTGTTCCAATTACAATCACCAGACGGACCAGGAGTCTGAGGGGTAGGGAGGATGAGATCTTCCAGCTCTGATGTAGGCATTTATTAGGACTCTTCTGACTGTTTTCTGTGTTGTTTTAGAGGTCTCCCTCATTGGGTTTCATGCCTTTAAAATGTGGAGATTGCTGGAGCGATTTGGAATAGTGTTTTTCATGAAACTACTACCAGCTTTAGACATGCACACATATTAGCACTGTAAAAGCACTGTAGCTTGATGCCTAAAAGTAATAATGTGAATTATAATTCTGCTGTATTTTTTAATGTGTAACCAAAGTAATGACAGATAGTTTTGTGTGTGACGTAGATGACTGCATTTGAGTGAAACTATATTTAGGAATCTAGCTTGAAAAAATAATGCACTTGCTAATTGATACTGATTTTAATACTGCCTCACAATTGCTTTGGGAATGTGCCACTGGACATCTTTCAGATAGTGACCTGTCAAACCTGTGAACACAATGCATAGTTTTGCACTGCAGTCACATGCTCGGTTTGCTGTTTTTCTGTTCAATTTACATTTTGCTAAAGTGTAATGCCCTTTGTGGTTACCAAAATATGATAAAAACTTTGTTCGTTTCCTGGACTGGTTTGTGTTTTGCATTTGTGAACTTCAAACATGCAGTCCTCCACAGTAAATTAATGCAGTATGAAACGATCAGATCTTGATCTTTTAACTTTGAAATCTTGAGTGATAATCAGTGACAAAGAGTAACAAAAGATGAACTAAGTTGTAACATTACACACAACAGTTAACGTCACAACTGAATTGCACCAGTATTCCTTCGGTCATGTGCATTTCTAACATAGAATTAATGGATTGTGTATTGATACAAGGTATTGGGGTGTGTATTATGAATATGAAAGTTCTCCAGACATCAAAATATAATCATTTTGCTTTTGTAAGCAGTTTCTTGTCATAAATACAAATTCTTTACACACATAAAATGTTATGTAAGATTAGCTCAATGCAAATAGATGGCTTACAGTAAAAACAGTAATATTGTTTTATATTACAAATTTAAAATAACTTCTATTTTGATATTTTTTCAAATGTAATTAATTCCTTCGATGGCAAAGCCGAATTTTCCGCAGCCATTACTAAAACCTTCATTGTCACATAATTCTTTAGAAATCATTGTAATATGCTTATTTGGTGCTTGAGTAACATTTCATATAAATATCAATTTTGAAAACAATTGTGCTGCTTAATGTTTTTGTGGAAACCATGATACATTTTTTCCGGATTTTCAACACAAAGATTAACAAAACAGCATTTATTTGAAATAAATCTTTTGTAACATTATTAATGTTTTTTTTTTCTGTCACTTTTGATCAATTTAACGCCCCTACTGAAAGTATTAAAAACCAATCTTACTGATCCCAAACTTTTGAACATTAGTGTGTTGCAAAAATGTATGCAAATTACATAAGCATAAGCAAGGGCTGTAAGGAAATGTATTTAGTGGTTGTTCCCTTTTTAGAACACAGCAGATCCCCCTCAGGTCTGTTCATGTCAAAATATAGTTGTTGACTGTGTAGTGCCAAGCTTACATTTGTATCATAGCCATAACCACAGGGTAACACTAGATGGCAGTGTGAATAGAATGTCTTTCTAAATGTGTTTGTGCGTCCCAGTTCTTGTTATTTTGTTGTCCTAGGAGGTAAACCATCAACTCAAAAATGTTAACAGTTTTGAACAATACAATGTGCTCTAATTTAGTTGAGTAGTTGAACCCCAGTGGTTTAGACATCATTAATAAAAAATTAAGTAGTCTTGAAAACCTCTATCCTCTATCCTTTCTATCTGAAATTGTTCAGATGATATTTTTACATTTGATCTGCGCTCGCTCAGGCAGTAACAGTAGCTGTGCTGACGGTATCAGGCCACTGACTGATCTAATATTTATTAATTGCACATCAACACTATTTCAGGGGTTGAACTGAGGTGTGACCCTTTCAGTCAGTCACTTTCTGCCTCTTTGGTTGCATTGTATGCAGTCTGAGATAAAAGGTGGTCTTCCTTGCTAGTCCTGTAAGAGTCTTTCAGTGCTTCACCGTCCTCATAACGTCCCGTCCTCCAGCAGTTTGTTAAGCCCGTTGCAGATTTTGGTGAGGTGGTGTTTGAGAGGCCCGGATGTGTTGTAAAGCTGGGTGAGGAGCTCGGGGTCAGCGTAATGGTTGAAGACGTGGTTGATGCGTCTGTGAGATTTTGGTGTGAGATGAGTGTTTACAAGCTTCAGAAGCATGTCCCTACTTTCTTTCAGGATCTCTGACATTACTGCTTTGTCAAAGGTGAAATCTACCTGTAATGGGAAAGAAGAGACGTTTGTTGGTATAAAGATCAAATCTGGTTACAAATAAGGCTGTGTTCAGAACCACACCACTTGCTTTGTTGAAAGCTGGAAGCAGTTAATGCCACTTAATTATCAGTTGACAAATAATTGACAAATAAATCGATTGTGATTTTGTAAAGGAAAAGTATCAAGGTGTCAAAGAAATGCTTACATAAATGCTTAAAAATACTTAATTACTACATTTGTTCATTAAACAATAACAATAAAAATACAATTATTAAAAATGATTAAATTTATATTAATAAAATAACTGAAAGGCATGTTTTAAATGGGCAAAAGAATTTTGTGAAAATTTTCCAATATTATTTATTTATTATTATTATTATATTTTCCATTATATTTTTTGTTATTGTATTTTTATTTATTTAATCAATGTTCTTACATTGCCAGATGTGACTGAAAATGGCAAAAATGCTTTTGTGCAAAATGTTATTTTTCCAATATGTATTTTATATTATATTTTATTTTGTTTTATTTTATTTCATTTTATTTTTGTAATTTCCTGAATGTTGTCAATGGTCAAAGTATAGGTTAACGATATTGTCAGAGGTCACCAACTGTTTTTTTTCCCTCTGGAAAAAATTATAATACACACTATCAAAACTTTAGATGGCTTTTTACTTTATGCAGTGCCACAAATGTCCCCATAGTTTAAAATGACTTACTTTTTGATTTTTTAAATAAACCTTACCTGAGTTTCATGAAACAGAACATAAATTCAGAAAATACTGCTTAAAGGTGTTAGATGCATGTATTGTGTACCTCGTGGAAGCTGATGGCTGTCATGGCTCCCTGGTGCAATTTCTTTTGGAAATTCTGGGCCAGCTTTAGCTCCTCATCATTGAATCGATTGTGCCTGAAAAGGACAGCTATCTTCACCACCACTTTAATGAGGTCTTTCACCACTTTCTGGGCCTCTGAGCGGTTCCCAGTGTACTCCTTTGACACACGGTAAAGCTCATCTAGAATCTCGCTGCTGGTATCATCGATGAACATCTGCACCACAGACTTGTTGGCCATTTGGCTCAGGATCTTTTTCTGGGCCTTGAGCGCCATGTCCTTGGAGCTGAACGCCTCCATGTCTTAGAAAGAGGAGAGATTTATAGTAATTCAAGATGCTGATTTTTTTTTTTTGTTACTTCCTAATACAGTGTGTTTTAAGTTAGCGTAACCCCTCAGTAACTTAAAAGTATATATAAATATATGAAGTAATAATTAGATGTTTTATTTAAGAGACTAGCATAATAAAAAAGATTTACTCATTAAATAGTCTAAAAATATGTCATTTAAAATGGCATATAGATAAGATTTATGGCAAGTTGTGGGAATGTTTATTAAATATTCTTATGACTAATTGTGCATTTTCCCTTGTATTTTATTTCTAGTTGTGTATTGGTAAGATTGTCAGTGCTGGGAGAACTCCCACCATGGGGAAGTCCCCTTACAGTCTTACTTTAATGCTTTGTTCATCAGGGGAAAGCTCATGCCATTTAGGACTTTTAGCATTACATCACTTTCTCATCAATGGATCCTCTGCAGTGAATGGGTGCCGTCAGAATGAGTGTCCAAATAGCTGAAAAAATTAGTAATCCACATGACTCCAGTCCATCAGTTAAAGGTCCATCATAACACATGGTCCATCATAAACCAATATGGATAGAGGACTTGTATTTTAGCTGAAAGCAATGGTTTGAATTAAAAAAGTCTTGATGGATTTGTTTCTTACAAACGCCTTTTCACGTCACAAGACATTAATTGATGGACCGGATCGTGTGGATTACTTGCGGATTATTGTGATGTTTTTACTGGCTGGACACTCATTCTGGTGGAACCCATTCACTGCAGAGGATCCATTGGTGAGCAAGTGATATAAAGCTAAATTTCTCCAAATTCCTTTAAATTTAGATAACATGTTTTGTGTAGAATAATTAAATGCAATAATATTAATTGAACTATGATTTGCATGCACATCCTGTATGCATTTAGGCTGTAGTCTGATGTCCAACACAGCATAGTTGAGCATTGCTTCACAGATCGTATAGTCAGGAGAACGTGCAAAGACATGTATGAAAGAAAGAGTCACTGCATAGTACTTACAAGTTCCTACGTGAATCTGAAGATTGAATCATTATACAGGCATCTATGTGCTTAGAAGTTTCTTCAGTGTATTGGTGCAATTTTTGAGGTCTTGCATATTTCCTTCAGACATTCTTGTCATTAGTGATGATCTTTTTGTGCTGCGTTTATTAAAAATCCTGTACTACATTAACAAATGCAATAACTGCAAAGTATATTAATATGCAAATGACCTGCACTGTGTTGTTTTAAATGAATCAAGACATGCCGAAAGTGATGTCATATCTCAGTCAATCCAATTCTGTTTATGATGAACCAACCTGATTACATTTTAATGCAGTTAGAGTTTCATTTCCTAATGAACTCTATTTAATTAGAAGCACTGAGTACATTAGAACAGCCATTACTTTACATTCTGTGACATGGAACGTCAAAACAACTATATAAATACTCATTTGAACAAATCAGCATGTTTTACACTGTTAAACTGTGAAAGCAACATAATCCTACGGTTTATTGTAAATACAACTTAACCACTGATTTCTAGTCGTGCCCTTTTTTTGGAAGACTAAACAAAGTATTTTTGCTTTCGCAACGAAACACAGCGTCTTCACAACATGGTGGCGGCGGCGGCAGCAACAATAAAGTTACGCCTTCTTTCTTTGCGTGAACATTTGGGCGCTGTTATGCAAATCTTCCCACATCGTGACGTAGACATGTGGGGTGGGGGCATGTTTGAACGAGGTGTTTTAGGAGGGCGTGGACCAGTCTTAACTTTTATAAAGAATATCTCTTTGGGTTTGAGACTTTAGTCTTTGCAACTTTAGGGATCTTATCTATTCACGAACAGCTTGTGACACTCCAAAGAGAAAGGAAAATGTGAAATCGCATCATATGACCCCTTTAACACACAACTTCTCATTTACTCTAATTTATCTAAATAGTGCAAAACTGATCTGATGTTAAATGTTTCACAATATGTGGCTATTTAGATGCAACTTTATTTATTACTTTTTTTTTTTAGAAAATAAATATAAAATTTGTTTGGAAGTTGCTTCTGCTCTGGACTTAAAACATGTTCTTAAACATCTGATCAGATCAGGCTTATACTGGGTTTGATAATTCCTTTTTTTAAGGGTTTTCTTTTCAGTTTTCTACAGTACCTCAAAACATACTCAAATATAATATGTGACCCTGGAGCACAAAACCAGTCTTAAGTCACTGGGGTATATTTGTAGCAATAGCCAAAAATACATTGTATGGGTCAAAATTATTGATTTTTATTTTATACCAAAAATCATTAGGATATCAAGTAAAGATCATGTTCCATGAAGATATTTTGTA